TAAGCCACTCAGAAGGTTTTTTTGCATATTCGTGCTAACTTCACCAAGCTGTTTGTTTGGAAAGAAACTGCTTCCAAATGAGAAGGCGGAGCGGGGGGGGGAGCGGAACTACAAAACCCAATCTGGAATAGTTTTTAATGCTTTTTTTTTTTTTGCCCCTCTTTAAATGAAACATTTCAAGTTTTCCGTATTAAGTGATGCTTAAAGACATAAATTTGCATTTCAGCTCAAACAAAACCTTCCCTTTAAGCCCAAGGACACACCGGGAGCGGTTCCAAACAGACCCGAGGGGCAGTGCTGTCCCAGGGGGATACGCTGTCCGGATGCTAACGGGAGCCTCGCACCCAAGGGGTCAATGCAAGGTCCTGTCCCCACCTGTGGCCACCCTGGCCACCCCCGTGGCCTTTGGCCAAGACGCTCAGGCGACGGCAACCCTGGGGGGAAAGGTCCCCGTGCCAACAACGCCGTGGGTGGGATGTGGGGAGCCTGCCAGGGACACCACCTCCCAGCCCCACGCTCTGGGTAATGCCAGGAACGGCCAGGGACCCCTTGAGGACCCCTCATCTGCTGTCAAAGCCCAGTGGGACTCCCAGGACCTGCTCCAAGATCGGCATCTCACAAGAGGTGGCAGACCCCGAAACGATGGGTGATGCTAAATAAGAGCAAGACGAGCTTATTAAGTTCAAGAAAGACGAGGAACTCCTAGAAAGAGTCCAGAGGAGAGCTACTAGGATGATAAAGGGACTGGAGCATCTCCCCTACGAGGAAAGGCTGAGGGAGCTGGGCTTGTTCAGCCTGAAGAAGAGAAGACTGAGAGGGGATCTCATCAACGCATACAAATATCTTAAGGGCGGAAGTCACGAGGATGGAAGCAGTCTGTTTGCAGTGGTGTCCAGCGACAGGACTAGGGGCAATGGGTGCAAACTGAAACATAAGAGGTTTCAGTTGAATATGAGGAAAAACTTCTTCACTCTGAGGGTGTCTGAGCCCTGTCCCAGGCTGCCCAGGGAGGTTGTGGAGTCTCCTTCTCTGGAGATATTCAAAGCCCGCCTGATTCTGTGATTCTGTAAATACAGACATAAGCCACACGCCCTGCACCATCCTCTGTTTCCAAGCATCTCCTCTTCCCCTTCATGCCCAGAAGCATCCCGACGCCTACGTAGCTGGCTTCAAGCAAGCTCTCCTCCTCCTCATCTTCATCATTACCTCCCCAAACCAGGGGCTTGCCCCAGTACAGTTCTCTCCTTGCAGGGACACAAACTCAAACCCCCGGGCTTTTCCATAATTTGGAAACCCCCACCATGCCGCCTCGGGGCAGGGTTTGCACATCCGAGCATCCCATCCAACAAATTAACCCGCGATGCTGGCGCACCAGCAAAAGAGCACCGCGAGCGTCCCCGGAGGGCCCGTCGGGACCCCCCAACACCCAGGATACGATGGAAAATCCTCTAAGATGGGGCTGCCTACGCAGGGGGGTGGGCGCGGAGAGCGGGCTTGTGCATCCCTGACATTGTGTGGTTGACTCGTGAGTGTTTACGTGTTCTCTGCAAGAGAATCCCGGCCCGCGGTCATTTATCAAGAGGCAGGGCAGCAGGCTTTGCCCTGGAAAACTCAAAACAAAGCCCGTCGGGATGGAGCCGTGCTGGGTTTGCCGGCAGCGCTGCCGGCACAGTGCCATTTTTCCCCAAGCGCTCAGGTTCCCGAAAGAAAAAAGCAGCCCCACGCTCTCACCCAAGGTAAATCTCATAATATTCCCCTCAAACGGGCTTTTGACGAGACAGGGGGGTGATCCGCTTGTGTTTCAGCCGTGGAGAGCTGGGTACCACAGAGGGGCTGGCTGCGGCTCAGCATCCCATGCCAGGACACCCCTACCCTGCATCACCATCCCTTGAGGACTTAAATTTCCACTTTTACCCCCAACACAGGGCAGAAACCCACGGTCTGGCGTGAGATCATTCCTCCAGGCCCAGAAAAGCCCTTTCTCTCCCCAAAAGCAAGCAGGGCTCTGCCAGCTCACCCAGCAAAGCCCCCCGGTGCCACTTGCAACCCCTCCAGCCCTACCAAGCCCTGGCTGGTTTTTCAATGACCAAGCATCAGCCCCTCTCCCCTCCTCATCCTCCCCCTCCCAGCATATTTTCCTGGCCCCTCGCCATTGTTTAAACCTGCTCTCCCTCCATGCAGACTTCAGATATAAACACTCCTCCTCACTAATTTACGGCAGTCCCCCGGCCGTTTGTTTCCCCGGCGTCGAGGATGACATAGAGCAGCCTTCCTCAGCGGGGAAGAGTCAGGGAAAGGCTTCGAGGCAGCGGGAAAATCCCCCACCCCGTGCCCAAGCTTCTCCCGCTATACGAGTATCACACGAGCAGCACCAAACATACCCAAATCCACCCTAAAAAGGGGATAAAATTGGGGGGTTGTCACCAAACGCCAAAAAAGCGCCAGTAAAAGCCGTCTTTCCCCCCCGCCCCCAATCATTTTTAATCACGTTTTTCTGCTCCAGCCTGCTTTGGCCACACAACCCCTGTTTTTAGATTGCCCTTTCCAACCGACCCCGGCTTTTCCACTCTGCATTCAGCACATAAATGGGAAAATTCATCTCCAAACAGGCCGGGATCGGGGCAGCGTTCCCACCTCTCCATCCATCCATCGCTTGGTGAGTAGTCCCCAGGTCGGACAGGGGAGACCACGGCTTTCCAGCATGGAAAACCCCCCTGATGGCTTTTCAAAGCAAAGGGGGAAATAAAAACCCAAACCAATCTACAGACAGGAAAGCTTGACCTTGAGTGACTATATTTGCAGGAAAACCTCTAAGCGACGAGCCCTCCCAGCTCCTGAGGACTTTTTACCAGCCAGGCTGGTATGGATTTTCCAATTTTAGAGCTGACAAAAGCAGGGCATGGGATATTATTTGCCCCCGAGGTCATCCAGCAGAAGCAACAGCAAAGCCCAAAACAGCCAGCTTTCCCCCAAACCCCAGCTGGCTCCATTTTATGGCTCTTAAACAATTGGGGGGGAAAAATAAAGAAAAAAAAATAAAGAGAAGCTCCACAACCTTCCAGGTTTCACGTCCCTGGGAAATTTCCAGCTCACAGGAAGCTTCGGATTTCCAGAATTTACATTCTTCTCATCCCCGTGCAAAAACAGCTCGATAAATTACCCCATGCCGGCGGCTTGCATCCGAACGATTCTCTAATTAACCTACCTGGATCTGATAGTCCTCCCCGATCCCTTCCAGCTTCTTCTTGTACTCATAGATGGCTTCCTTCATGTTGTGCATCTCCGAGCAGGCAGCGATGGCACTGTCCACCTTGAGAGGAGTGAGCGGAGAGCAGCTCAGCGAGCCCCGGGTGGTGGGGGAATGGAGCTCGCCCCCTCCCACTCACCCCGCCAGGGGTTTCGCCGGCACCCTCTTACCTCCTCAACTATCTGCTGGCCTTTGGGGACCATCTCGATGAAGGTCTGGATGACCCGGAGCCTGTCCCTGGGAGATGTTTTAGGCAGGGGGGGGAGGCTGGTGGGGGAGAAGAGGGAGATCAAATCGGCCCCGGAGCCACGGGCATACCCCCCTGCCCCAGCCCTGGGGGCTGCCCTGCTTACTCGGGCTTCTGGCCGGCTCCTCGGTGGTGGTGGAGGACAAGCGTGCCCATGGCCATGGCCAGGTTGGTCCTGCCCACGCCGGTCTGGCAGCAGGGAGGGACAGGGGGATGGGGACCACAGGGATGCCCAGGAGAGCCAGGTCTGCCACCACAATGGCCGGGGTGGAGGTGACGGCCCTGCTGAGGCGCAGCAGGGCAGGCGGCATCAGACCCTTTGCTCAGGGGATGGTGCAGACGGACCAGGACAGCACAACAGGCCATCCATCCACTGCAACCCCATCCCCTCCCCAACCACCAGCGAACTGGGCATCCCACTGGAGGTGTCCCTACCACCAGTCCCCAAGCCGCCGAGATGAAAACTCCCAAGCTAAAAAAAAAAATAAAATAAAGAAGCCCTTCCATTGAAAGCCTTTGCACCAAATCCAGATAATTTCTCCCAAACCAGTTTAGGGAAGAGCCACCTGCACGGGGATGCTGGGAGGTGGCAAGGGATGGTCACCTCCAGCCAGGGGTAGGGACAAGCAGCTGGACAACATGGACTTCTCCAGCAAGGTCCACAGCAATGGGAATGGGATGCAACTGTGGGCACAGGCATCCTCTAACGGCCAGCATCAAGCCAAAAGCAGGAGAAGACGCCCTCAGGGAGTCATGCTCCCCCCCACAGCATCCTCGCTGGGGCACAGGAGCAAATCCCAACCCAATGTGGCCCCACGGACCAGTCGCATTTGCTCAGCTCACCCTGAGGAAGCAGATGAAAGCGTCGAACTGCTCCTCCAAAGGGGCTCCCTCGGCAGGCAGGGGCAGCCGGTGGTACCTGCCGGGCACGGGGACAGCCCTCGTTAGGAGGACAAGGCCATGAGCAGGGCTTCGTCCCCACCGCAGTGGAGGACACGTGGCTTAAGAAGGTATCAAGAGGAAAGGCAGCCCAGCTTGCAAAAGCAAAGCCACCGACCACGCGTGAGGAGGAGGAGGAGGAAGGGCGGCACCTGTAGGAAGGCAGGAGGAAGATGGGTCTGCGGTAGACCTCCTCTGTCACCTGGATGTCCTCCTCGCACTGCACCCGCACGGTGTGGGGCTCGTCCCGCAAGCGCTCGATGTCGTTGTAGACGTAGTAGATGCTCTCGCTCAGCTGTGCGAAGTCGTGGATCTAGCGGAGACGGGGAGCGCCATCAAAACCCACCGCCTCCGACAACCCCTCCGCTCATCCTTGAGCCAGGGGATCCACGTGTGCCGTCATCGCTGGGGTGATGACACCCCCTGCTCCCGTCCCACCTCACCTCCTTGCGGATGGCCAGCTCCAGGCTCTCCGCCCGCAGCCCCCGCTGCAGGCACTGCAGGTTCTCATGCAGGTTCTCCTTGCCCCGGGGGGTGTAGGACACAAAGTCCCCCTCCAACCGCAGGAAGACCACGGGCTCCTCACGAACGCAGAAGAAGACGCACTCCTGCGAAGAGGGGGAGAAGCTGCCCAAAAGCTCTCCCGCCTTTTTCCACCCCAACTTCCACCCTCCCACCAACCTTGTGGCCCTCCCTCTGCAGCTTCTGCAGCACAAGCTTGAAGCCGTTGAGGCTGGGTTGCCCCATGCCGAACACGGCGTAACCTCCTTTGGCTTGTCGGAAATTGGGAGCGCCGCAGCTGCCGGTAGTGTTCAAGACGTCTAATTTGCCGTATACATCCCTCACCATGAAATATTTCCCCTGCAAAACAAGAAGGAAGAAGGGGAACAAGCGGGTTTGAGTGTGCAGGCTTGAACGCAGCTGGGAAAAAAAGTGGCTTTTCCTTGGCGGTCTTCAAAATTAGAATCATAGAATTGTCTAGGTTGGAAAAGACCTTTAAGCCCAAATGTTCCCCTAACCCTGCCATCCCACTACTAAACCCTGGCCCTAAGCACCTCATCTATCCTTCTTTTAAATTCCCCCAGGGATGGGGACTCGACCCCTTCCCTGGGCAGCCCCTTCCAGAGCCCAACAACCCTTTCGGTGAAGAAATTTTTCCTAATATCCAACCTAAACCTCCCCTGTCGTAACTTCAGACCATTTCCCCTCGTCCTGTCAGCCGTTACCAGGGAGAAGAGGTCACAAAAAACCCTTGAGGTCCCCAAATCCCAGGCTGAAATGGGTTTGGCACGGGGTGGCGGCGACGCTCACCTGCACAAGGTAGTGTTCCAGTGTAGCCTCGGAAATGCGCCCCACCGTGTAGTTGGCCTTCAGCAGGTCATCATGGATCTGGAACTCCTCCCTGCAGTTGTACCTGCAAAAGCCACGCGTGGGTGGGTAAAGGAAAAAAAACAAAGGCATAGCTAAAGATGAAAAAAAAACCCCCAGCAATATTTAGGAAAAGAGGTCTGGGGACAGCAAGGAGGGGATGCGAGAGGCTGCCGAGGACTTACGTGATGACCACAGGCGCCACTTTGTTGGTGATGATGGACTTGGCCTTGCTGTTGTGGAGCCCCAAGGTCTGGAAGGAGTGGATGCTGAGGGAGCGCTGGTCCTCCATGCTGCCGTCGCCTGGCGCCCCGCTCTCCGGGGGGGATGCCGAAACTGCCTGCTGCGCCGCGCTGGCCGTCGTACCCATAATCCGCAGGCGGCTGCGCCGGGATGGGGAGATGGCAGGGATGGGGAGACGGCAGCGACCGCAAGGAACACAAGGAGAGAGGGAAGGGGAGGAAGATTTTTTTTTTTTTTTTTTTGCAGCTCTTCCCATTTTAGGAAGGGAAAATCCCAGGCAGGCGCAGGGGCAAGGAGACGCCCGTTTGGGAAGAAACGCTAACGCAGCCCTTTCCCCCCCGCTCCTGCAAAGGGCTTTCTTCCTCCCTGCGGGGGGATGGAAAAAGGCAAAACGCAGGATCCGGCCCTTCAAATCTGCTGAGTCAGCAGATGGCACTGCAGGGACCCAGCAGCTCTCCATCCCAGCACAGCCCCCATACCTTGTCCTCTGCTCTCCCAGCACCCACAAACCACTCCAGGGTCCCTCCCCAGGTGGAAAACGCTTGCACACCAAATAAATTTTATTCCATATTTAGTAATTGAGGGTTTAGGAGTTGCCGGTGTGCCCGGAGCAGCGAGCGAGGCTGGGGGATGTTGCTCCCCGGTCCGGGCTGTGCATGCACACGCGGGCACACACGCGTGTCGGTGCACGTGTAAGCAGAGGGGGAGGTGGGGGACGGGTTGTGAAATGCAATAAATAACCCTGCAGGGCTGAGAAACCCCCTTGGTGGCATCGGGAGCCTCGACGCAGCGAGATGAGGGATTTCCTCCAGCGATCAAGGAGCAAATCTGAAAGCTGCCTCGAAAGCAGCCGGTTATTCCTATACTGGAGGAGCACCCTCTCCCCACCCAGGGCAGGTGAGGGACCCTGAAAGCAGCTCCCCCCTTACCCTCCCATCCCCAGGGAGCTCAGCCCTAAATAAGGATGAAAGCAAAAGGGCCAGCCCCGAGGCGGGGGGGCTGGGGGCGGCCAGGAGCATCCTGCCACACTCGACCGATCCAGGACAATGCTCCGACTGTCTGCACCAGCCAGGGCCGGATCCTGGTGACCAAATGAAGTGAGAGATGGCAAGGGGGGTAGCCTGGAAAAAAAAACCAAACCAAACCAAAACAACACCCCCACCCCCCCCAAAAAAAAAAAACAACAAAAAAAAAACCTCTACCCACCCTTACCGAGACAGTCCCCAATAAAATCTCCTTTTGTACAGCGGATAACCCTGGTAGCGTCCAAAGGGGGACGGTCCCTGCTCGGTGGGGACGCGCAGCGCTGGGAAAGCAGGGGTGGCTTTAACCCAGCCCTACGAATGCTTTTGCAGCTGCTTCTGCTGCCTTGCACGCAGTACAGGATCAGTCCCTCACTGCAATCCCAGGGAATGCGATGCTCCCAGCAGCTGCAAATGCTTCAAGGGAGGGAGGGGGGGGGAAAGCCTCCGGAAAATGTGCTATTTCCAGACGGCCGTGCCCCAGCACAGATCTTCCCCTCCTCCCCATCTTTCTTCTCCCCTGCTCCACAGAAAACTTGTTGATCTACCATGAATTTTCTGCACCATTAGGCAGCCTGGTTTCTTTTAGCCTGGTTTCTTTTACGTGCGAGAGAAGCAGGGGGGGGGACACACACAACAAACCAGCTGTTTCAGGCCCGTGCCATTTCTCCAAGTCCCCTTATGCTTTTCTTTCATATAAAAACTGTTGGGGGAAAAAAAAAAAAATATATATATAGGGAGGTTTCGAGTGCTTCAGAGCGGGCCCTTGTGGCTTTGGAGAGCTCAGCCAGCAAGCAGGAGGGGGGCGTTCAGCCAGGATGCTTTTTTTTTTTTTCCACCCCCCCCATTTTGCTCCGAATCGGCGCA